TGGGTTTTCAAGACAGGGTTTCTCTGTATAGCCCTGGCAGTTCTTGAACTCTGGAACTCTGTAGATCCAGTTGAAGGCTGACCTTCAACTCAGAGATCTGTCTGCCTCTGTCTCCTGAGTGCTGGGATTAAAGGTGTGCACTACCATGTCTGGCTTAAAAAGCTTTTTAAAGACAAGTTTCTCAGTCCCACTAATTTCAGAGTTATTTCTTGCAACTCTATGTGGTTGCACGCTGGACAGTGTGGCTTAGGGATGTGTCTTCTGCTGCCAAAGCACTCACAGATCTCCTCTCAGTTCCTAGGACTTGCACTTGGCTTCTTCTGTTTTCCCTGATTTATACAGAAAATGCCTAAATTCCTGGCATGTAATTCTGGGCCACAACCATAGCCAAAGTTCTGCCGATCCCTGTCCACTATGACCAGTAGGGACTGATGGGTCCCTTCACACTCCTAAAGAGTTGGAACTTGGAACTCTGTGCTACACCGAGCAGAGTTTTACCACCAAACTGCTCTTTGCTGACTCAGTATACCTTCTCTTTTCAGGTCAGGGCAAACACTTTAATCAGTGGAAAGGAGACAGACAACATTGTCCTTCCAAAGATCCCTATGTGGCATGACTTTCCTAATATGTGTAAATCCTAAAGAAGGAGGAGAGCCAGACGGTTGATGCATCTGGAGAGCAGAGAACTGAAGAAGAGTTTTCTTTTCTGCCAGAGACAATTCCAGAACATGGTTTATGAGAAGGAGCAAAAGAGGATCAGATGAGTCCATTGGCTTCAGGAGGAAGGCCAACGTCAGTTTCTGTTACAGATGCTGAGACTTGTAGACAGCAATTCTGGATTCCTGTTATTCACTACAGTCCATCAGTGATTGCTACAATGGCTGGCCTGGTGTCTGAGGATACGGTATCCTGCTTTCTAGAGCCTGTCTTAGGCAGGATGAAAGGGGGCTCGCCAACCTCCTACTGTCATCCAGTTCTGAATTCTAATGGCCAAGACAGAAGTCCAGCAAAGATGATGAAAGAATGGAGCTTTCTTTGCAAGGGATGAACCAAACTAGACAACTAAAAAGGCACCTCAGTGGCCCTGGGCTCCTTTGAGAATCCAGAAGTTCTGTCTGGGATGTCCTTGCCTTTTTCTGACTCCCCAGCCTCTTAAATATGTCCTGGGAGAGGATTCTTGTGAGTGAGACAAGGACGTCTTCAGATTTGCTTTCTCCTAGACCATGGGGTCCATGTGGAGGAAGGGATCTGGCTGTAGGGATGCTAACTTTTATTCCTCGCTGCTTTCATCACCTTCCTTCTTTGAACCAGCTCTTCTAGCTTTCTGATGCACTTGCACTGGTTCCTTGAGATACGCTAACCTGGTAAAGAGACAGGTCTCAGAGAAGGAAGTCTAACAGTTCTAGTCTCTCTCTAGGAGGCTTTCCAGGGACAAGGCAAACACAGCAAGTTCACTTCTATCTTTGCCTAAAGGTGGCAAGAGGGTTAGGGCCTGGAGTGCGCTCTTCCTGCTGCTTCCTTCTTTTCTGTCAGTAATGGGCACAGTATTGGACTCCGTCAGAGCCTGGTATACCATTGTAGACATTTAAGCACATGAATGTGGGTTGAGGGAAGGGAATTTCTTGGCTTACTCACACCATGGTTCCCTGGAGGCTGATGAATCAATTGCATCTTTCATTCTTACTACTCCTGTCTTCCAGACTTTCTATGTTTATTAGCCTTTTACCACTGAGATATAAATTATGACAAATCATGAAATCTCTTTGTTCTGTACTAGGAGGGGGTGATTGCTGGGCTATGTGTCTGGGAGTAACACCGCACTTAGTCCATGGGATGCTAAACACATCAAGAGGAAATGAGCCTTCTAGAATGAGCTGTGATTTGTATATTTTAAATATAAGAAGAGAGTTTTTAAAAAATGATGACAACAGGGAATTTTCACTATAACTGTGGCCCTTTAAGAAGATATCACCTGTGAGTTTCTATAAAACATATAACGTTTGCATGTTGAGACTTTTCAAAACTTTACTGAAACACCTGTGATTCATAAAGACACTTTAGCTGTCAGTGTTAACCAATGTGTAAAGCTTTTCTGCCTTTAAGGTGTCCCTGGTCCTTCATAATCTGTTCCAAGCTGTCTGTCACATACACAGCTTCCTGAGGTAACTGCATCTGTGGAGTGCTCTGTCATGTCTTAAATGTTAGGCACCTGTACTAGCTGTCATCTGTGGCAGTCACGGGTGCATGTGTTGAGTGTCACTGAGGAAGTGTTCCCCATTATAGTTACCATTTCAGTGGGAACATTTGGTCAGTAGCTATAGAACTGGGCAACACAGGTCTCTCAAGGCCTCAAAGGACACACATCTTGATGAATAGTACAGAGGTGATACCTCCCATATACTTGTTCTTATAAATGTGTGCCTCTGACCAGGCCTCCCCGTGTCCCTGCTCCTACAAGTATCAGGGGCCTAGGAAGACAATCTTCTCTTAGACTCTGTGTGCTCATTGTCCACACTGAAGATGGTTTCTCTTAATCCTGGTGGTCCCTAGCTCTGCATTTCTGGCTGCAAATGATTGATGTGTGTTACTAGAATTTGCAGCAGGTGGCTCCCCACCCTTCTGGGTGACTCCACCAGTGACAACACAGGCAGAGGTGGCCTGGCTTCCTTTTTGGGGTGTTTTAGCGGATAGCTGCCTGCTCAGAACCCACAGAAGCCTACTCATCCCAGGCAGCTGCAGTGGTCCTCTCCCCACAGGCCCAGGCTCTGCACTTCCCCTCCTGGTGAGTAGACCCTTCCCCTCTTCTGTGTCTTGGATGTCACCTGTGTACATGGCCATATGCTGCCACCAAGGCATCTTCATCCCATGAGGGCACTCATCTGTTCAGATGTCATGTGTACCATGCCCTTTGCTAGAAAGTTCCAATATGGCTCAGGTTTCTTGTGGGGTGAGTGATGAGGCTCCCTCCCGACACACAGTGAAGGACAGGCTCAAGGCCTGTTTGTGATTTATACCTTAAAGGGAGGAGAAACCGTGTTGGGACAGGTAGCAAGGGGGTTTCCAAAAGTCTGAGAAGGGTGACAACCTTGGGTCTGAGAGAGACTGCCCACGGAAAGGACTTACATAGCGGAGAAAACTTGGGAACCGAAGACTTGACAGGCATACAGTAGACTATGGCTCATCAGACAATGGCATGCTCAGTTGTTTAACTCCATGTCATAATTCTGTGCTCAGTACATGAAGTGTGGCCCAGGAAAGATGGACTAAAGCATACGTATAAAACTGCGTGCAGTGTGATCCCCTTCCCACTGAGTACACGTTCATGTGCTGGGAAAGAGATAGTAAGAAGACACGGCCCAGAAATTTAACAATGGCTAAATGGAAAGTGGTGCTTGACTTTGTAGTTTTTCCTCATTTATATATAAGGAGAGAGAGAGAGAGAGAGAGAGAGAGAGAGAGAGAGAGAGAGAGAGAG